TGCAAGCTGAGGCCCGGTAGAGGCCATTTAAGGTCCCCTGGCCTGAACATTGTGCGCAGGGCAGAACCTGTTGAAAAGCTTCCGCAGGAGTCTCGGGCGTTGTGCTGCTGTGAACTCAGGGCAAGGCGCCGTGTCTGTGTCCCGGGTGAATGATAATTCACCTATATCATCCAAATCGAGGGTTCCGATGAAAGAACCTGCAGCATAGGTGAAGTTGCAAAGCTCTGAAATCAAAATATTGAAAACGGAGGCAAATAGTTCACAACAAGAGTCTAGTGTTCTTTCCTTGTTCAGACAGACTAGTTGCCATCAGCCTGTTTAAAACAGCTACACGCTGTGCCATGAGCCGAAACATCAGGAGACGGCAGTCGAAGTCAGAGTCCAAAGTGGCGCCGCTATGAACCCCAAACAGCAAGGAAAACCACGGCTGGATCCCCCCCCACCGCAAACGAGGAGGGGGGTGGGGGTGCCCCTATTCCACATTTTAAGGGAGGGTGGATATGGCTGGAGCTCCAAAGTAGTTGTGGGCTTTCTATAGGCCGCCGGAGGTTTCCCAAAGCCAGTGTGAATTGCCCCCAGAAGGGCCCACATCTGACACATTCTAACCTTGGTGGGAACTCCCTAAATGCAACAGATGCGGAAAGGCGAGCCCCGAGAAATTGCGGTTGTTGAACCCCCCCCCATAGCCCCATGCAGGCGCAGCGAGCGCCCTATACAACCTTGACCATTTGCCAGAGAGGCACTTGAACATGTACAAGGTGCCCTACAATCTATTCCCTTTCAACACCAACCGAAAGGAAACTCCCATTATGTTAACCGCGGGCGTGCATCAACGCCGACCTCGAACTTCACCTTCCTCTAACCTCCAACCCCAAGTGAAGCTTGCACCGACAGGGTGTATCAACCTGGTCCATCCTGCCAGTCATCCACTAACCTCAACCTCTCCTTAGCCTAACCTCTTTGTCTAGTCTCTAGCTTCTCTAACCTCAAGTCAACACCAGTTTATTAATAGGGGGTGTTCCCCTCCAAAAGTGACTCCAAAAAGTGATGATTCCCCACTAACCGCAGGGACATTAATAAACTGGGGTCGATAAATCTGGGGTTATATATAAACCGGGATATTATAATCTGGGGTCACCATTATGCGGTTTCCCAAGGTCAGACCTGTCCTTTTCCACATTGGGCCGGCTGTAAATAGGCCGCGGCAGGCCGTGGCAGGCGACGGGCGTCAACACCCTCACTGGCAGAAAGACACGGGAAAAAACGGAACGCCTCTTTGGACCTGAACGCTGGAACGCGCACAACATAACTCACCTGCAAAACACATGGGTAACATGAGTAAAGGTCAAACAACCACCTGCAGAACCAGGCTGGGCCGTACTCATGAACCAACAAGCAACACGTGCTACTACGTTGAGCCTCCAAAGTCTAATTGTAGTTTTCCGCCAGCAAGCTTGAAGCTTGGCATCTTCGATCACATTAAGCACATTGATCACAGGTGTCCGTGACTCACGGCCCGTGACTCGCAGGGCTGGCTAACTAGTTTGGTTAAGCCTTCTGGCAGCACGCATGTGATCTCGCCACAGCGATCAGCCAATGGTCAATCGAGCAGTGCGAAGAAAAAAAGAAGTTTCGAGCTCTATTACTTCTAGGTCACACCGCAGCAAGTCGCCTGTGCGCGAAAGAAATCCAGTTTCAACAACGTGGGGTAAAACTAGCAAGCCCCGACACAACAAAGCGAGCGTTTGCGGAAGGCGGGTTGCAGCGCTCCCAAGATCTGGTATCACCGGTCGACATGTATATATATATATGCATGTTGTATGGACATATGTATATATATATATATATATATATGTATGTGTACTTTGATGCCACGAGTTTCATACAAACACAGCATGAAAGGAACATGGGCACAAACCATATTATGCAAGATTGCTTAGCACATTCAGCCAACAAAATGCATTCATGAGGGCTCGATGATCCTGTTGGTAGAAAGTCAGTCATGCCAGTGTTGCTTGCCGCATGCGACTTGGCTTTAAGAGGTTGACGCTGACTCTCAAGGTCTCGGAGGTGAGTGTTGTTTCCAATGGTCAAATAACTCAACAGGGAAAACGGGTTCCCTACACTTGCAGTTTGTCTGCCTCTCACATGTGCTGTTCTACTGGCAATAGGGCTAGTGATCTGCAGTTTATTCAGCATGTCATGAGGGAAGAACTGAGCTACCAGCAACCCATGGCCGATGGAAAGTTCAATCCCCAATGTCAGATAGTAGCTTGGTAGCCTATGGTAGGTGCATTTCATTCACAAGGAAGTACGGAAAGGACCCTCATGACCACAACTTGCACGGGCCTTCATTCCACCACCCCCTTGTGAGCTACAGGCATGCAAAGTGGAAATCTACAATTTCTGACAAGTAGATCTCTTGAAGTCTTCTGGTCAACCCAAGAAAACCAGGTGTTGATAGAAAAACAAACAACAACATGCTCTGCACATCATGAAAAAACACAGTCTTTGGCTGAACCACACACACTTTTTCTCTCAAAACCGCGGGCCCCCACAGCGTCCCACACTCTCAACTTACAGTAAAGGTGTGATCATCAGTGTTCAGCATGTTGTCAAAAAACAGCAATCTCAAAACTGCAAAGTTGCTCTCTGAGACTGCTGCAAACTTAAAGTGACATGTCCATTAGTCCAAGCATTTCCCACAAATTAGAAAGAGAACCGCTCCTGGTCTTTATGGTCCTCCATCGAACTTTGCATTATCCGTATCTCTGAGATCTCTCCCAACTGCATAAAGATGTGAACAGTGGTTTGTCAGCGGCCGTTCTTGGAAGCGCTGGGTTCACTGCACAATCTGCCCGTCCGTCTCTAATGCTATTCAAAGCGTTCGCGAGTGGCCGTGTCAACCTCAATCAGCAATTCCAGGATAGGGTTGTTCTCCACACTTCCTCTTTACTCATCACCCCAAAGAACACTCACTCTAGTTTGGGGCAACAAACGGGGAAGAAAAAAACACACACGAGAAATGCGGGGTTGGAGCACCTAAGCCTCTCATTGCAAGCCCGTTCTGGCAGAAACCCGCTAGTTGGTTCTTTATTCGGGCATGGGTCAAAATTAAACCCCAGAGGACCGCGGGTTTCAGTCCATGTGTCCATTTGCCAGGGTTCCATTAAGGGTGCCTATCTTTGACCCACAGCCATTTTGAGACACAGACACGGTTTGCGAACCACTCCACTTCAGTCCGCATCTGGTTGTTCTCGAACGAGAAATGAAAGTCCCTTTCGATTCGCAAGCTGAGGCATGCGCTTTCGGCAATGCCGTTATATGTACACAGCTGTTTGCAAACTGAAGCACAGCAAAGAGATGTCACCGCCATCCAGGATCTACATGTGTTTCGGGCTTTGGCAACACCATCTCCACTGGAACTACTCCAAGTCAGTCATGATGTGGACCGTGGCTCCCATCTACAGGGTTCCCCATCCAAACAACCAGAGACAATTCCCTTTGAATTGGCCTAAAGCCGATTTCTAACCAACAACGAAACAAAACACAACAAATCCCGGGGAGCCCTAGCTAAGATTTCACTTCTCGCGCCCCTACATTGATCGGTCGATCGAGGCTTAAAATGCCTGCCCCGCCCACGAAACTTCTGTGCCACTTGGCTTTGGCTTCTCCGAAAAGGGGACCACAAAGCCTGGAGTTGCAAAAGAACCCACATTTTTTTGTGTTTGGCTTCCCTAGCCTAAGACGGGTGCAAAGACACACTCACTCCCAAGAAGACGCCAACGGATCACCCTTGAGACTCTTAGACCGGCCAAAAGTTTGATCGCTTTCATCATCCATTCCACAAACGGGCAATGCCTAGCTGATACCCAAAGATCGAGGTCATCTAAGCTTTCCTACCATCTCGTTCCACTTCAAACGCATGTGGGAAAAGATAGACAAACTAAATCGCCAATTTTGAGCTGCTCCCTGAAAAATTGACTTGCCCGCTTTGAATCACAAGCAACACACAGATGGTATCTGCCGACTCTATCCTAACCTCACATTGAATGACACATTTTGTTCCGGCTTGCTCCATGCGTGCGCGGGCGGGCCTCGTCGACATAAGCCGCGGGCCAAACATGCGGTTAACATCATTACCCTGGTCAACAACACAACCAACAGGGTTCCGCTCATATCCAACCTGAAAACAAGCTTCCAAGGAAAACTTAGACTGAACAAGCACGGCTCTGCATCTGCAAGGTGGTGCTTCCCACCACTTCCAGGAACGCAGTTGCTTCTCGAGATGTACACATGTACACGCGGCTCATGATCATCCCCCCTGAAAGGATTCAACCCTGGACCTTCCATTGATACCCTTTTTGTTGCTCGCTTTTTTTCTGCTCGAACACACAGTTTGTGCCCGAGTCTTCAATTTCTGCCCGAGCAATGAAAAAGTGCCCAAGGTTTATATGTTCAAACGAGCACTTTTTCACATTTGCGCTTGTTTGCCGGTTTTTGCGCTCGTTTTGCAGGCTGTTGCGGGCGTTTTTGCACACCATTTCTGCTCGAGTAGGTCATGTTAGGACCTGACAGCCCGCATGCCTCCAAAAACTGCTCGAGGTCCAAAAAAGAGGACAAGCCAAGAAAACCAGGAACGAATTGCAAACACCAGCCGATTGACAGGGGAGGCAGAAATTTCAGGTACGTTTGATGAAAGAATCCAACCTCAGCGCCCAAACCCACAACGTTTCTTTCTACCAAAGGGCAATACAGGTTTGGGCCCTCTGTATAGCCCGCAACTAGCAGCACACTGTGCTACCTGAACCCAAATCGGCATCGCTTGGATTTTCGGCGCGTCGGCGAAAATCCTTGAGGCCGCTTCAGTCGAGTAGAATAACAGCAGGGCGAAAGGAATTGGAACCATGTTTTTTTTTTTTTGGTTCTTTTTTTTTTCTGGGGGGAAGGACCTTCCCAATGTAGAGAATTTTGGGTGTACTCCGAAACAAACCCACAAATGCACCTGATAGACTTAAGCCCGGAAGTGGCTTACAAACTCCCTTGGTCCAGGAGCTTCGAGCTTCAGCCGACACCACGGCTGGTCTCGAAGAGTCCACGCACCTAAGACCGAGAGAGACCGGCGTCTAGGGAAAAGAACCCGGGCTCATGAAATTCGACAGGAACACCTAAATGGGAACCCCGGATTAATAACCTTCACAGAATCTCCCCTTTCAGCGGGGATTCAGACCACTGTTGGAGGGGATTCAGATATATGGGTGTTTCTCAAGATTCGGGAAAACTCCGCAGATGGTGTCCTTTGGCTTCCCTGTAAATGCCCACCAAAACGAGGTCCCCTATTTTGAGACACTCCCATACGGCGGAGGGTGTCCTCAAACGCGAAATGAAACCCAAGCTGCCACAAACAAACCAAAACGCGAGCAGTTCAAGGACGAAAGGGTGTCTCAGCAGAAAAACGAGCGCTGTCCCAACGTTTGTAAAACTGGGCTGCCCTCAGATCCCCTGCCAAAAGTTTAACTTGTAGTGGGTTAAATGGACTACCACTAAACCCTCAAAACCTAAAGTGCTAAGGGGATGGCTGAGAGCTCCCAGAAAACAAAGAGAATCGGGCAAATAATAATCATCTGGAAACAAGGGACAAAAACGGCCTCATCGGTCGCAAACCACACCATCTGGCGAGGTTTCGATCTAACTTGCCCGGGCATCACAACTCAAGCTTCCCCCGGGTTCATTTCCCATGAACGGAGTGTGCCTGTGCGTGTGTGTGTGTGTGTTCTATTATTCCGTATCACGAAGGCCTCCAAGAAGCAAGATATGCTCAGTTTCGAAAAATGTTGGTGCCATGTGGGGTCCTTGATGCTCTGATTTTATACATCCTGAGTCCATTATCTACCCCCCTGACCCCATCCCTTAAGAAGCACGCCCTTTGATATAATGAAACCTGTGGGATCAACAAGGGGGCCCAGGAAGCCTTTTGGCAACACATGTGGGTGAATTTCAATTGGGGACCCTTAACCCGACCACTTTCTGAGACGGCTCCAACTCCTAAAAATCCGAGTTCCCCACGTGCATGGGTCAAAATTAAACCACCAAGGGACCGGACTTGCTTTAGTCCCTGTTTCCATTTAGCAAGGTTCCATTTTGGGTACGGTAGATGGGCGAAATTTGCTCGCACCACCTAGACACCATGGTTGAAACCATCATGTTTGTTGGTATTTGCGGAATCGAATCCTTCCATGAGATTCGTACCTGGCTCCCTAGATTTCTCCGTGAAACATCAGCCTCAGCTTTCATGGGCCAAAAAGGCAAAGATGGTTAAACCCACGTTTAAAGCCACCAAAAAGGGAAATACAGGGACCCCAACGTAACGGCAGTGAGCTAGGTCCTTCAGTAGAGAGGTTAGAATAAGAGTAATTACCCTTTTTTCTGTGGTCCATTTTAGTAGGGGAACCCTCCCGACCAAAAAAGAAACGGGTGAGAAAGGGCACCACTGGAACCAGCTCAGCCGTTTTCCCTGGGATCTGAAGAGGTTTTCCACAAAGAGGATCCAGGTGGGGGGATATAGGTTGTTCTCCCCAAAAAGAAGTTTTTCTCCAGGGGATATAGGTATTTCTCCTATTCCATGAGTTTTTCTCCCCAAAAAGAAACGGTAAAAGGGCACTGGGGGACCTAGAGAGGGTTTCGCCTCCGGAACTCCGAGGCGCGCCCTCCATGAGGTCGAAGGCCACATGTTGAGCCGCGGATCGCACTTGGTGCATGGCCGGACCGGACACCACCTGAGGCGAATCCCCGGTGCTCGGAGGTGGAAAAAAACACGCGGCGGACCATATGGCCCTGGGTCAAAACCCCGGCTATCCCCAAGTGAACATCCCAATCCACACTAAAATAGGTTCTAAAATGGGTGGTGAATTCACCTATCCCAGAATGGTTCCATTGGTTTTGAACCATGGCCATACCTGTCTAGCAGGTTCAATTGGGTAGACCCAGATTTTGAGAGACTACAGATGGGATATAGGGTAGTCCCCATGAACAGTAGGCCTTCAATAGGCTGTCCGCTTCTGGCACGAGTCCCCTGCCAGGGCAATCCTAGAAGCAAGCTTTTTTTAATACATTCAGCAAGGTCAAAGTATGATTTCAGCAACCATACGGTACACTGGTTAGGTGAAAATGTGCGTGGATATCAGGAGGACTTCCTGCGGTTTCTCTCGCACGCTGCCGTGGAAGGAGGGTGACTTCTGTTGGTCACAAACACCAGTGATTTACGCAGAGCAACAAATAGAAAGTTCACAGTGCAACTTGCCCAACACGCAGTTGTTTGGGGTTGGTG